AGGGCGGGGTTATGGGGTGGGGCTGGGGGGCGTGGTCATCACCCCATGGCCCCACCCCCTCCTCCCCCCAGGAAAGGCGCCCTATTGGCCACCAACGGCCTGGCCGTGGTGGGCGGGGCCCTGATGGGCGGGGCCAAGCTGGGCCCCACCTACATCCTCATCATCATTGGCCGCCTCATCGTGGGGGCCTACTCAGGTACCGCCCACCGGGGGGAGGGGCTTGGGGAGGGGCGTGGTCTCTGGAAAAGGGGTGTGGCCTGGACCAAAAGGGGTGTGGTCAGAGTGGAGGGGGTGTGGTCTGGGTGGAGGGGGCTTGGTCAGGATGAAGTGGGCGTGGTCGCGCATGAGGGGGACACAGTCCGGCCTGGAGGGGGTGTGGTCTAGCTCGAGGGGGCGTGGTCTGGACCTGGGGGCGTGTTCAGGTGTGGAGGGGGTGTGACCTGCACTGGGAGCCAAGGGGGCGTGGTCAAGCCTGGAGGGGGCGTGGTCTTGACTGAGGGGGCGTGGTCTGGACTGGGAGGCGTGTTCAGGCATGGAGGGGGTGTGGCCTGCACCAGGGAGATAAGGGGGCGTGGTCAGACCCAGAGGGGGCGTGGTCAATCCCAGAGGGGGCGTGGCCATTCCCAGAAGTGGGGCGTGGCCTGGACCAATGTGATACAGTGTCTGGACCAAAAGTAGGCGTGGCCTACCCCCCCAAAAGGGGTGTGACCTCCCGTCCCAACAAGGGGGCGTGGTCTGGGCCGGAAGGGGCGTGTCCGTGTGAGTAAGGGGGCGTGTCCCTTAGGGCTGGTGTCGGTGCTGGTCCCTCTGTACGTGGGGGAAGTGGCTCCGCTGCGGCTCCGGGGGGCCCTGGGGACCCTCCACCAGCTCGGCATCGTCATCGGCATCCTGGGCGCGCAGGTGGGCGGGGCCTACGGGGGTGGGCGGGGCCTGAGTGGGCGTGGCCTGCATGGGAGGGGTGTGATGGGGGAGGGTCTATATGGGAGAGGGGTCCTGGGTGGGGCCCTGGGGACCCTCCCCCAGCTCTGGAGCAACATCCAGGGATGCAGGTGGGCGTGGCCTACGAGGGTGGGCGGGGCCCGAGGGGGCGTGGCCTGCATGGGAGGGGTGTGATGAGGGGGTCCATATGGGGGATACAGCCCCTGACATCACAATAGAGCCCCTCACGTCACGATACAACCCCATGTCAGAATATAGGCCCTCATATCACGATATAACCCCATGTCGCGATACAGCCCTGATGTCACGATATAACCCCGTGTCGCGATATGGCCCCTCGTGTCACTATATAACCAGAAGTCATGATATAACCCCGTGACACCACCATAGAGCCCCTCATGTCGCGATACAACCCCATGTCACAATACCCCGTCATGCCACGATATGACCCCAGGTCACGATACAGCACCTCCCGTCACGACACAGCCCCTGACGTCACGATACAACCCCGTGTCATGATATAATCTCATGTCATTATACAGCCCCTCCCGTCACGACGCAGCGCCTCACATTGTGATATAGCCCCATGTCACGATATAACCTCTCATGTCGTGATACAGCTCGTCGTGTCACGATATATCCCCAGGTCACGACACAGCCCCTCACATCACAATATGACCCCAGGTCACGATATAACCCCACGTCATGATATAACCCCATGTCACAATATAACCCTCTGTCACAATACAACCCCTCATGTCACGATACAGCACCTCACATCATGATATAACCCCACGTCACGATGTAACCCCATGTCATGATAGAGCCCCTGACATCACGATACAGCCCCTCACATTGCGATATAACCCCATGTCACGATATAAC